AAGTTAAAGTCGTACAACTAGGTAGGCATTTATTTGGTAAGTACAATAAATATATATCTAGGGACCACCTACCTCATGATAGCCAAATATAAGTACCTAAATGATAGGAGATACGTAACAACCGATATCTATCTACTTTTCTACCTTAATTATTATCCAGTGGCTTCAAAAATACTGTATTTACCAACTCCGCTGCCAATTAGTTACAGCCATATTAGATACGGAACCCTGATCAATTTTGTCAGAACTACAACAACACATGGGTGGATTTTTGAGATTTTTTTGGGTCCGTGCTCGAGTGGAGTGCTTGAGTCTCGACCGCTGCGCCGCGCGAATTATTAAAAAGTAAAAAAATAAAAATATATATGACCCTTCAGAGTGAGGTCGCCTGTGAAATATAACATGCCAGCTTACTCGCGGACAAATGAATTAATCAAATTATAATGTTTAATTGTGTACAATGAATATGTAATGCAAAGGTAATCTTGTCGCAGTGTTTGATATTCTGAGGTGTACCGTGCCGTAATAAAACCTTTTAGATTACCTACTTTCAGCCACAACTATTCATTTAAATTAGATATCAGTAGGTATCTTAAGTTGATAACTACTTAGGTATACTTAATAAAATATTATGATGTAAGTTATTACTATCAAAAATTCAAGATATAAAAAGTACCTACAATACCTACTAAATTAAAAAAAAAATTGTCATCTATAACCTCTTATTCAATTTGAAATGTCTCAATATCTAAGGACCCACAAGTTTGTTTACCCAATTTAATATTTTATGGTCACCAACATAAACATACCTTCAAAAGTGCCATTAACAGAAATGAAAATACTCGAAATACCTAACAAAACATTACATCAGATCATTAAATCATGATATCTTTAGCTAAAACAACTTTTTTAAACCGGTAGTCGGTAACAAAAGCTCAGAATGAGTTATATCACCCCTCCACGTCTAACCAACCGCACGACAAATGAATTAGGCGAAATAATACAAAAAAAAATTACACAATAGCTTTTTCAAACCGGTTGTGGGCGAATTTGTTACTAAAATGTAGCAACATCTGTCTGCAGGGAAAAACGTGACATCCTTATTTCGAAACTGTATCTTCTATGTCAATCAACATTATACTCTAATTCTTCAAGTTAAAGTTAAAAATCAAATAGCTGAATTGAATACATACTACCTTTTTCATTGATACGAGTAAAGTTAACGCCATTACTGTCAAATTGTGGGCCAATCAGCGTGGAATAGTTCCGACCAATCAGAGAGGCGCACAGAACGTGTTCCGAATGTAAAATTCGGGGGGAACTGTGCCGTAAGTAAGTTTTTGTGTTGACTCGGCGAGAATTAATTTGTTTTTTAGTGAATGAATTTGGGTTAGATGTTAAATACCACATCTGTTTGTTATTCTATCTACATACTTGTTTGAGGAAACCAGTAGATAGATTCTACTTATGTTCTTCAGTATTTATTAGGTACTCTTTCAGTGGAAATTTTGTTCTAAGTACATTAATGAGTAATCAAAAGAAAAGTTAATTTTAGATGCAGATTTTATCTTTAAGAAGGTATAACACCTTCTTAATTCCTATATTACAGGTCGTCGAGTGCTCTCAATCATCGCAACTACCTAGCAACGGTCTTGGGTTCGATCCCGGAGCGGGCGAAGTAATTAATAAATAAATTAGTGATTTTCGTTTTTCTTTATTTTCAATGATAACACGAAATCGGAAGTTGTGAAAGATGCGAAAGCTATGTGCACTTCTAGGTAGCTAATCTTTTGGTGAATAAGATTATGCACCTACTTGCCGAAAATAAATATCTAGATAGGTAAGCACCTAAATCTTAGGTAGGCACAATTAGACACTATATACCTATCTGTGTTACAAACTCGAGCTTGCTATGTTTCAGTACTTTCAGTAAGTAGGTACTAAGTAGGCATCCATTTGAATAGCAAGATCTACCTAGGTACATAACTAGTGCCATCCCTAGGTCAATTACAGTTATATTCAAGTCTAGTTTCTTTTACACTAACCTCGGGGCACTTAGTTATGCGTCAAAAGTACCCAAGTATTATTTTAAATACAATATCGCACTCACTATCCGGAATCACCGAAAAGTAACAAATATTCGCCAGACCGGCCATATTTCCGCATTCTCACACACATCACACGTCAACCGGAAACCTTACAACTCTGCTCATTTCCCATAAACCCGGCCAAGATCTAGAATGTGCACTTTACCATGAATTAATGTGTCAAAGGTTTGTCTTTTGTCGTCTGTGCTAATGACGCGGGGCGGCGGGCACCGCCAGCGTGACGTCAGCGTGACGCCGGCCAACCCGCGGCGCTCGCGTGACTCTGAATCGCGTCACGCAGCGCACGCGCAGCATGCTACTGAATTCAAAATTCAAATTCCGTTTGACAGATGACTTTTGATTTCCCCGTCTTGAGAATTTGAGTGGCGTTTCTAAGTCGACGGAGTGTGAATGAGCAATTCCCATTTTGATGGGAAATTGACGGATCAGACATTGTTATCGCAGAATGAGAAGGTCAAGTGGTCGCGATTCGCTTCACTTGGACCGCGATTGTGTGAACGTGACTGTATGAGTGCGCACTGCGCAGGTCCTGTCAAAGACTATTAGTTGCCGACTAATTTACAGTTGAATAGTTTCACGGTTTCTCACGACTGTCAATGTGTGGGGAATTTGGCACTTTCTTTTCTACATGGTTAGGTTTCTTTTGACTGGGTAGGTACAGCTTAATTAGGTAAGTACAACATGGGTTAAGGTAAGGTAAGTACCCTTACTTATATCATCAATGTGGTAATAAATAAAATAGATAGTAGATAGGTAGGTACATTAGGACAAGCCCTTTTATCGTCATTAGCCAAGGAAATAATAAAAGGATTATCACGTCAGTGACAGCTGCTGCAGACATTTTTTTAATCATGTAGGTAGGCACTTCCATATGTTTTAGTATCTCTATGTAGATAGCTAATAGACAAGTGCTCTGGTCAAACTTTGGGTCCATCTAATTAACACGCTCTTTAGTCAAATAGATAATAAAAGGTACCCTATTTTTTGAACATAGATACAATTTAATAATCTGGTGGTACAAGTAGCTACTAACCAAATGGTTGCATTAATTAGCACAACAAATAATAAGACCAAGCATTAGCAAACTAAACGCAATGAATTATTTACAGTCCATTACATGCAGTCTGGACAAAAAAAATCTTAAAAAATCGCCGTTAACTTCATTCATACCTCAAGAGGTTCCTTTCATTGCCTACCTTCGATTATGAAAGAATAAAAAAAACTATTGATCGTGAACAAACGCGCGCCACTTGAAAATCTTTTGTCCGCCATATTGGAAAACGTTTTGACATGTGCACTACGTGTTTTAATTTATTTATGTGTTCTGACATCGTGAGTAAGCAAAGTTAATCACATTGATATAGTTAGTACTTAGGTACTTATTTGTAGAGATTTAATTTTTTTTTTTATTATGGGTTCATCAAAGATATTTTGCAACTATTTTCACTTTCACTAGAATAAATCAGTTAACTGGCCGGAAACAGAGTATTAGATTTGCAACCTCTTTACTTACGGATAAAATATATCTCTCTGGCCGTATTGTATCAAAAAAATTTAAAATGCCATTAGCGATTTCTTTTTATTTTTTTTTTAAATTATTTTATGGCTGCGGTGGAATTTTGCGTGTAAACCAGCCTGTTTGTTTTCTTAATAAAAACTTTTTGCTATGTAAAGATTACAGGAGTCACAATTTTCAAGTCTCTGCAATCGACAATAAATTAAAATCGAATTAAATTAAGATCAATATAACAAAAACAAGCAAATAGAATTGTTGAAATATATTTATTATTTCTTTTTGATTGGTGCCGAATCATTTTAATACAAAATTAATCTTAACGATTAAACCACATTATTGCAATCAGACAAAAAAGGTCAACATTCATTCATTAAAGAATAGGTACACGTATTATTTTGGGTAACGTAAAACTTTGCACACATCTGTGGCAACAATCATTATGAACAATAAATAGGTACGGGTGCACGGTTGAACACCGCAAAGTCTGCGAATCAGTTCAATCAATTTCTACAAAATACAAAATATTTAATATTGAGACCTTGTTTCATCACTTCCCGATAAGTTCAGTTAGTTTGATAAACTAAATACATAATTTGAAATGAGTCAAATAGACTCAAGGACACTTAATCGACAGTGATGAAACCGGATCTCATTAATTTATTATTAAAGTTCTATTCTTACTAATTGCTGACATTATGTCATATTTTCAGGGCATTTTCGCCACACAATGAGCAAGTAGTTGGCTCATGAGTTATCGACCAATAGACATACCAAAATATATTTAAAGTACAAACAAAACGTCAAACTTTTAGGATTTTGAATAAAAAATATCTTTATCTGCAAGCCGAATGCGCTAAAGATCCCTAATTAAGCGCGGCCCTATAATATTACTATGGTGATATATATGTCGGAATACTGAAACGCTACTCAATTTTAAGTCATGCTTAAGTATAGTTCTATCTCTACAAATTCTTTGTAAAGTGACAGAGATGGCACGATATTTGAGCACGACTTAAAATTGAGTAACGTTTCAGTATTCCGGCAATAGAGTATGTACAGAATTATTACATTTTAGTGTAAATAGCAGTCTTACTCATGTATAACACGTTGACTGTACGTGCATTCATTGCCTCATCGAATGCGACATAAATGGACTAGACGTAAAACATCTTAGCACTTTTTATATGAAATATAATAATACATAAGTCGATCAAGTGGAGACGTCCAATCATTTTAATATTTTTTTATTACTTTTAGAAACGTTGCCCCACACTAGGATTTTCTCCTGTGTCGTGGGTGCGTTTACAACATACAAGTTCACACACACATGACACCCAGACCCGAAACAATAATCTGTGGATTACACAAAGTGTTGTTCCGTGTGGGAATGAAACCCGCGACACGTTGCACGGCAGCCGGATGTCCAGTCGCCGCACCAACTGTGCAGTCAACTTAATAATGCAACTTAGGTGCGCGGTACTAACTGTATTTTATTACGTTTGTCTATAACCAGAGAGCTTTTTAAATAACTATTAACTTTAACAAAGTTATTTCTTAAGACTTAGCATTATGCATTCGGACAGTCAAGGTGTTAACATCTTCCCAATTTCTAGATAACAGTGACCCGCCGTCACGCAACAAGACATAATAGTCCTTAATAGAAGGTACAAAGTCAGAAAATGTTTTAAATTGAGTGAATACAATTTGACAAAGTGAAGTCAAACTGTCGTACTCGGACACATGTAATGGTTGCTTAAACTATTCCTTATTGATTTTGTTTCGCAAACAAATGCTAAGGATTAATTTAAGTAACGTTTAAATGACTGAAACAGAAGAAGTACAGAAATAAAATACATTTACTGCATAGACTTGAAAGTTACAATATGGCGACGTTATTGGTTGGGTGTAAACAAACCGAGTTTTTCGAAACAGGGTTATTTTAAAAAACATTAACTCGAAAGTTTTACGATAACACGTAAATTTTGTTATAGAATCTAGCAAAATATTGCAATTCATAATCTTAATCTCTCCAATATAAATATAAAGAATACAACGTCCTTAACGATATTAATGTTTTAAAGAGTAACCCTCCACACAAATAATGTAAGTTTAACTCCGTGGTTCGCCATATCTACTAGATTTGACCAATTCAAGAATAACGGTAAGCGTTCAAACCAAATGCAGTAATCGTAAAAGAATCATAAACATGAATGTATTTATATTTCATAAATCAAGCACCTGGTATAAGTTACCAGTATTTTCGTCATAAAACGTATTTTCTGTATAGAACGTATAATATTTTGTAATTTAGCCATCATTTCATATAACACAAGATATACAAATACATTGTACATTTTCAGTCGATTGAAAGAAATCATCTGTAAAAATGTGATACATAGTGATGCTAGATTTGAACAAGTGTGATATTTCGTTGGAACTAAACTTGGCTATTTTTTACAATTTCCTCAAAGTTTATTTTTGTTGCCTATGCATACATTAACTTATATTTACCGCGAGTGCAACGGGAGCGTCTCAAATACTGTCATTATGACAGATTTCTTACCAATACAACGTCTATTTTCTCATTACTTACAATTTATTATAAAAAATATAATTATATTAGTTCCAGGACCTGCCATGTTGTCTCCTATCCCTATTATATCTACTCCTCGGGTCTCGTGATCCTTCTGCGCTGGAATACCCTTGATTTGGAGGCCTGTATCCGTGTCCGCTACTGATAGATCCCGCGTTTCTATCTCTTGACTGATTCGATTGCTGTGATTGGTATCCTTGGTAATTGCTGACGTAATTGGAATTGCGCTGGTACTTGTTTATAGGTCGGTTGTCCTGGTTGGACTGGTGACCTTGACTCGACTGGTAGCCTTGGTTAGACTGGTGACCCTGGTCCGGCTGGTATCCGCGGCTGTTCTGGCTAAAGTCCTGGTTTCTCTGCCCATAGTTACGGGGACCCTGGCTATAATTACGGTTGTAACCCCCGCCTTGTTCCTGCCCCGTAGAACTGTAACTACGTCCTTCGGCTTGGTTCTGATAAGGAATGTATCCGCCAGGTCGTGGTCCGAAGGACTGTGACCGATCTGAAACAAACAAAATGTCATTATATAATAAGTTTGCTTTGAAAGTTTTTGTTTTCTGTGACAGTGGTGGACACGAATACTTTAGTGACAGAAGTTAGTTAGAAATATGAACATGTAGTCTTCAACAATATTAGTATATTGTAATCAAAGAGTTAATTTATATCAAGCTAGCAGACTTTGTGATTAGTAAATGAGTTGTCATATCCAAATGATCCGACGATATAACCGCGCTTTACTTTAGAGCTTTAGTGGGAGAATCAAGCGCCATCTTTTATCCGACACTTGCGTGAATATAAACGTTCCCTCAGAGCACAAAACTCGTGTATTGCGACACTCGGCTAAAAGTCGCTGCGACGCGCCCCGCGCGAATCGCACCTCGAGTGTTTAATCGCTCGCTTTGTCAAGATGTAATGCCGACTGCGATTATGGAAAACTGGAAGAGAACCCGCGGGAGCTGTTACACTATATTTAATGCAGTTTCGATATATTTATTGTTTTACAACTACTGTAAGAACTGGAGGATATTGCTTATAATGTGTCCCGACAATCAGACGTCAAAGTTTTATAGTTATGCAATGTTATCGACATACAACTTAATATTATTCTAGTTATTTTAGGTATTACTCTAGTTTCTCACCATTACTATCTATCTTTCATTTGACGCGCCAATCACACAATGATTAAACTGTCAAACGCCAAGCGGTCACCGGTGACCACAACCTATTGTTCTATAATTGTGTCTATAATGACGGTACTCGACGAGTTAATCGACCAATCCAATATTGTTATCCACAACACTATAATTGAACCATCCCAACAATGAGAAGGGTAAAAATGAACAGAGTTTTTAAGGTTTTTCTATAGGCACATCCAGTGAGAATAAATCGAGAAAATCTAGGCTCCCATAATCCTTGCAGGTCTAAGTAACTGTGAGCTGTTCCGTACATCAAAAAAATTTGGTGTAAAGAGATTGCGGAGCAGAAGAGTGGCTCAAAGCGGCCTCTAGCGGCTTAGTATCTTCGCAAATAGATTACTAGTATTTACATATTGCATTGAGTGTACCTTTGATATCTCGTAGGTATTTAAACACTTGAAACTTTTTGTAGCAAGGTTTGTGTGAAGTGTGGAGATTGGTGACGATTTATGAGTAGTTTGAAGTATAAAGTGGAATCGAGCACGTGTCTGTACTACTAATAAACAGTAACGTAGATTCTAGTATAATATTTAACTCGTCGAGTACCGGTTTTGTAGACACAATTATAAAACAATAGGTTGCGGTCACCGGTGACCGCTTGGTGTTTGACAGTTTAAGTGCATCAACAAAGAACCTAAATAAAACAGTTCCACAGTGGCGTGCACAGGTTTTCGAGAAAGGGTAGGCAATTAAATATCGTATGATTAAACCCCTCCCCCCGGTCATACAATGGCAATCATACTCACACAAGACAGGTACCTACATGTACAGAATACATTTTGAAAAGTGCGTTCAAGAATATTGTGGTTTATTCTGTCGCCAAATTACATACACTGACATCTCGCGTATTTTTTGTGAACTACTTCATCAGCTATGGAATAAGCCAACAAAACTTACAAATAATTGAACATCTATTAATTATACTAATAATGAAGCATAAATTTGATGAACCAAATTCAATTATCGAATTGCTAGATAATCTATTCAAAATCATAATATATTACGAATTTAAGAACGTAGGTACCTACCAACAAACAAAACAATAACAAGCGCGGCCGGCTGTGGCCGAGCCGAGTATTTATAAGCGGTACATTTGTTATTACATTACATAATTATTAATAATAAATTACTATGTAAATCAGTACAACCCGAAGTCTAAGTTGATATTTTTAAGAATTATCAAACAAGAAAATCAATAAAAGATCCATTAAAGTACATAATATTTACATTACCTACCTTTGACTTGGGTCAATTCTCGTAACTTGAGTACTGCCTATGGTCATTACCTGAATCTAGTCGTTGTAGGACACATTTTTGCGAAAACTTACTGTTTTTAACTTTCAACAAACACAAAAAATTATCTATTATCAACACAAACTTCACAATCGAATAATATAGGTACTTGTACTAGACACTGATAAACAAATACACTATTTGAAAAACCTACACATACATTTAACTACTTCTACACATATTTATGCAACTTTATGTTTAAAACTAATTCCTTATAATTTAAACGAAAACATAAACAAAGCGATCGCACATCACATGAAAACAATATGGCCGAAAACATTGGAATGAATGAACCCATCGTAGTCAATTGAGTGTTTATTATAAAAAAATTATAGCTATAACATTAAGGCAACCCAGTGTTTAATTATAAAAAAACAAAACGTTAATTTACATAAGTCAAATGGAATTCCGTCATTGTCTTATTATTATTTTCCAATAAGAAACATTCGTTGATAACAATTTGAAACTTTGAGTTATCAAAACGTCAAGTTGCCGCTACTCAAAAGTTATTCCTTTTAACTTTTAAAATAATAAAGTCAACTCCTCGTTTAAAGTTTCTGTAAACCGACAACGCGTAAAAATGTTAAGATTTAATTAAAATACCTGAAACATATTTTTTTAGTATGCATAATTATAAAAAGACATTCGCATTATATCGAACGTGTTCAGAAGTTTTAACAAAAAATTCAATAGATGGCGCAGATTCATAAATTTCAAAGGCCGGCAGCAATGACTTTTTTGCGTTTATGAATGGTTATTCTCTGCTGTGACCATAGTCACGTGACCTTCACGCATGCGCGTTGCATACTTTTTGTGACGTCACAACCAACAACCAAGATTTAAGGAATAGTAGCGCATGCGTGGTGCGTGCGGGGCGCATTCATTGCTTTACAAAGGCGTGCGGTCCGTGTATAGTATATGTGAATGTATATTTATGTTAGCCGTTTTTTTACAAACTTTTATTTTATTATTGAATCTTAATAAACGCGTTTGTACATTTTATGTCAAGCAAAGCCTTTTTGCCTATATGGACTGCACGCCACTGCAGTTCCATACTGTTCGAGGGCACAAAAGGTATAATAAAATTAAGATTTCGAACACCCTGCAGTACGACTCGAGGATATACCTAGGTACTAGGGACATAATTTCCATGAGCATAGTCTATTTCTATTTGTACCTGTCACACGTAGCAGTGCTGGCATTAATAATGGCGGGATTGTGGAGAGCGTAACGACGCGTCGCCATTAGCCGCCATTGTTGGGCCCTGATGGCGCCCAACGTGGGGCACGAACACGCTATTAATTCTAAGTATATGATTGTGCGGGTGTTTGTGCGTACTGCCTCAAATTGCTCGTACCCATTGTGCACGAGTTATAAGGGAGGTTCGAGAACGACATAACTATATTATAATCTTAGATTTAGAAGATCAAGACTTGATGTAATTCTTATTCTCACCAAGATGTCTTGTTGTAATCTTAAGAATAAACATTAGTCTTCCATTAGACAGTATATTAGTTTTAAACATCTTATCAGAAGGCTTTGGATAATTCATTTTGTCTCTTAAAATATTTGTTCATTTTGAGATGTTTATATGAAATTTGTACCTCCTAGCCCATTAGGTTTGAATTGTCCACAATTGTAAATTACTTCAATTTGTAATACCCCCATGGCGTTTAAAGTGTAAAAGAAGTATTTTACAGGTTTTACTAATTTTAATTACCGTTGCTACAAAGATGGCTGCCGAAATACCAGCTATCTTAAAAGACGCTAACGCGCTGAGGGCGGTGAGACTGTCAAAATTCTCCTTTCACGAGTTTCGCCACAAGATCTTTTCATACAAACTCGAAACTTTCCGTTAAGGTCCGCCACCACTGTGGTGTAACAAGTGAGTGAGTGATATCATGTGTTCCCTTGTCGTTCTGATATACTAAGAGTTAGTTTAAAATACAATAACAATTCAATATCCGGCTTTTCGGTATATTGCAAAGATATGAGATCCTTTCGTCTTATTGACAATACCTAATATTCCTTTTATATTGTTTGAAAAGCTTCGAGATGTATGAGATTCACTTTCTTAGAACTTAGTGGAAGTTTTGATGTTTTAAATTATTGTCTACCAAATTGACGATTAAGCTAATAACAACATAGGACAATTCAGCTATGCAACTATGTAAATTTTTCTAGAAATTCAAAATGTTACGCTACATTCGGCGTCGACCTTTAACAAGAGGAGTGGTAAAAACTAAAAAATATAAAACCTCGGGTGGCAGGCAGACATAATAGGCACCTAATGGTCGCGTCGCGACACATTCAGGTGAAAGCGACGGGCGACGCCGAGCGCCCAAATTATACCACGTACGCTGAATATCTCTAGTGGCACTGGGTATTTTGAGTGCCAACTTCTGGTATATTTTTGAAAGCTTATATTTATTATTAGAATTAATTGAATATATTGTGAAACATATCAGTTTCTTTTATGACCAATGAGGTTAGAAGGCGGTTTGCAAGTCTTTCATAACAGTTATTAATCAACCAGATGACAAAATGAAAAAAATATTAAATAAGAAAGCGACCTTCCTCAGAAACTCAGAACCCTTGGCAACGACCAAACGTAGAGGCGACGAATTTTTTAATAAAAGCACTCGAGCAATGAATTCATACCTGTTCAAAAATGTCACCAGATTATTTTTAGCTGGCTTCTTTTTTGAAAATATCTTGTGTAATATTTTTTATTTATTTTGAACAACGATGAAGATCGCTGCCGGCTACGAATGTCTTTGAGAAATAAGTTAAGTGTCAAGCAGAGACGGCGGGCAATACACCGCAAAGATATCACTCGGGAAACATCAAGTGGGCTTCAATATTTCGGATTCCGTATGCCCCGTTGAGACGTATTTTACTCAGAATTCGGACCCATGAATATATTTACTGTACAACTTGTTAGGGACTGAGAATTATTGTTTTTTCTAGCTACTTACTTGTTTTAAGACTACTCATATGTAAACGAAGTTGT